CAATCATACTGCCGAAACTACAATGCAAGAAAATGTCCAATCACACTGCTGAAACCAACAATGTAAAAATGACCAATCACACTGGAAAATGTCCAATCATACTGCTGAAACCAACAATGTAAAAATGACCAGTCGCACTGCTGAAACCAACAATGTAAAAATGACCAGTCGCATTGCTGAAACTAACAATGTAAAAATGACCAATCACACTGGAAAATGTCCAATCGCACTACTGAAACTAACAATGCAAGAAAATGTCCAATCACACTGCTGAAACCAACAATGTAAAAATGACCAATCACACTGCTGAAACCAACAATGTAAAAATGACCAGTCGTACTGCTGAAACCAACAATGTAAAAATGACCAATCACACTGCTGAAACCAACAATGTAGAAAATGTTCAATCACACTGCTGAAACCAAATGCAGAAAAATGACCAATCACACTGCTGAAACCAATAATGAAGAAAAATGTCCAATCACACTGCTGAAACCAAGAATGTAGGAAAATGACCAATCACACTGCCGAAACTAACAATGCAAGAAAATGTCCAATCATAATGCTGAAACCAACAATGTAAAAATGACCAATCACACAGGAAATGTCCAATCACACTGCTGAAACCAACAATGTAAAAATGACCAATCACACTGGAGAATGTCCAATCATACTGCCGAAACTAACAATGCAAGAAAATGTCCAATCACACTGCTGAAACCAACAATGTAAAAATGACTAGTCGCACTGCTGAAACCAACAATGTAAAAATGACCAGTCGCACTGCTGAAACCAACAATGTAAAAATGACCAATCACAGTGGAAAATGTCCAATCACATTGCTGAAACTAACAATGCAAGAAAATGTCCAATCACACTGCTGAAACCAACAATGTAAAAATGACCAATCACACTGGAAAATGTCCAATCACACTGCTGAAACCAACTATGTAAAAATGACAAGTCGCACCGCTGAAACCAACAATGTAAAAATGACCAATCACACTGGAAAATGACTAATCATACTGCCGAAACTAGCAATGCAGGAAAATGTCCAATAGCATTAAGTCAGATAACCGCCGCCTCCTCGGGGTTACTAGACAAGATGCCGTCTATGATCGGGGATTCCTTATACAGACAGTGTTGAAATTAAATAAGTAAACGTAAGATGATGTGTTGTGTAGTATTTATTTACAATAAAACATGCAATGGCAATGACTCTTTATTTCCGTACGTAGCTTTAGGGATGTACAAACTGAATAACAACAAACTGAACGAACAGAAAACTTCTTCAGTTATGTGTACGCCAGTAACACGCACCCAAAAATACATACTGGTCATAGGTTATTCTTGTGGAGTTTTATGGCTAAGATTTTATCCATAATAATTCACTATCACTAGTACGTCCACTCTACTCACTTTTAAATGTGTATTTAATTCTTTATCATATATATAATATATATATAATTTTTCCCGTTGTGTTTTTTTCAGGTAATCGCGAAAGAAAAAATTAACATGTGATGACAAATAAAGAATTTAAATTTAATTAATGAATTTAATTAAAAGTAATTTAAATATGAAATGAAATATGTGAAATAAAGAAAATGCACAGCGTATTTCCGGTTTTAACAACATACCAAAATAAGTAGCGTACCTCTATATTAACTAGCGATTACAATTATTTCAGACACCAAGATAACGCCGGAATATGGTGACTGGGATATAAAGTCCGACCCGAGATATACTTTTATTGTGGAAAGAACTTTATATCCCAGAAGAGTCTGGGTATTAGGACTTTATTCAACTTACGCCCCCCGCAAAAAAAAACAATTAAGGATACATACTTTTGATGGCCTTCGGTGAGTTCTATAATCTATTTTGCGCGAAATTCGTTATGGGAGGAAGACCATGCCCCTAGCTTGCAATACTGGGTTAGCCGTATACACAAAAAACAATGACCGATATCGAGTTCCTGATAACTCAATGATCGGCCGTGATTCTTCTTAAGACGGTAAAACTTAGTCAGTGTTATAACTTTGATGTCACGTGATTTCTATAACATTTCTAGAACAGTATACGAAAATGCGTATAAATGTCCTGGGACAGTTGATGACTTGTAAAGAACGAGTCATAATCGAAAACAGAACATTTTGTGCATTTGAAGTCCCGCATTGAGGCATTAAGATTGGTCCAGAAGAACTTGATGTGTTTTACGTGTATTTATTACAGTTTTTTCTGTGTCAAGTTTGCTTGGGTTGGGGAAACTTTAGCATACTTCTAACATACTTGAAATGATCGAAATCTTAAATGTTTTGTACGAGATAAAAAAAAAAAACATATCTATATTTCATCCAGGAATAAAATGCAGTGGATGTATAATACTGAAGTTTACAAATGACAACGTGGTACAATTATGTTTATTTCAATCTAATCGTGAGGAAGACTCATATGTCTCTCAGGTTTGTAGGGGCTACTGTCCATCCATAAAACACAAAATGCATTTTATTCTTGGATGGTCATAAATAAATGTGACTCCTTTCATTCTTCAGTATATTAGAAATTTGCTAAACTCACTCTTTTCCGGATTTCATAAAGATACTCATTCCATCTTATCTTATCGTTGTAACCGTTTCAAATATTTCACACTCGATATTTGCGTAGACTATATCTTCTACAGTCTATAGTATTTGTTATAAATTTTTAAAATAGTGTTATAATACTTTTCATGGCATTTTTTTAAAATCATTATGTAAGTGTACACACTGGTGGCGAGCGTAATAGAGTGGCGTTGTGTGTACACGTGTTCTACGACTCGTAGTCAATTCGTCCCAATGCATTCGTCCCACAAGTCATTTCGTCCCAATACACGTTCATCCAACAGTCAGCTGGGATTTTTCCACGCAAAAACGACGAATTCGGCCGAATTATCGGTTGGCTTAATATTACCCCCAACGAATCGTATTTCTGTGAAAGATTGGCAATTTTGTCCTGATTTGTAGGAATCTGAAAAACGCGTTTCACAACTTATTTAGTTTTATGCCGCATTCAAGATGGCAGCCCCCGTATATTAAATATCGCATTTATTTTATTATCACGAGGGCGCCAGCTGACCGTGGTTCGTCCCATCACCTTTGGTTAGCCTTACGATACAGGGTGATTTCCTTTATATATATTGGTAACAAGACAATCAAGCTAGATGAATATAAAATACAATCGGACAGCACAACATGCCATTACAACAATATTTACTGTGTTTCTCCATACTCAGAAATAAACAACTTTTACCATGATTACCGTTTTTCAGAACATTAATTAATTACACTATAATCTTGAAATATGAATAACTTGAATTGACAGCGGATTAACGTATGTCAAAGTGTGATACAATAAACGGCTATAGAGGGACTTTTGATCGGACGAACCGACTTGTGACGAGTAAACCGGTGTGGTGAATCGAATTGGGACGAATGTGATTTGGAACAAATCGACTGTACACCTGTTCTACAGGGAATATATTCTTGGCTCCAATACTTTTTGAATTTTGCATTGCATAATAATGTTACGGTGGTTATACACGTTGCAGTGTATTATATGTACATGTTATGTTTGTGGGAAGTTACTAGTATTGTTTCGCTTATATAGCCAAACGTATAATCCATAATGCCAACAGCCTATCACCCTCTCGGTGTTAATGAACAGCTATAATCAACGAATAATCTATACTGAAGACTATCAAAAATAACAGGATGCATGTGTATTCATCTACAGGCCAAACTGCATGTATGTGTTATCACATTGTTTCTTTATATTGAACACGTAAACAGTACATCAAGTTGATATATATTAAAATATACGCAAATAATATGTAAAAATATTCATTTTACAAGTTCATGCAAATTACAATATATTTCGTTATGGGAATGGACATGATTATGCATTAATAACACTACAGCAATTTTAGCATTGAAGCTATTGTGAAACTTCACATCAGGTCATTGTTGGCTATAGATCGTTAATGTGTGTGATCACACTCACCGAGTCGCTTCATACAGTCGCATACCAACAACGTAAATGTTGTTAAGTTTTCTGGTTGTACATGAAATGTGATGGTCCCAGTTTGTTTCTTTATTATTTTTTCTTCTATTTTTAGCAGTTTCTTTTAAAGCGCCTTTAATAGTCGTCCGCAGTACGTGTTCGACGGAATTTCATGTAAGCCAACAATGTATTCTTACACGCGTTGTATGCGTCACTATGCGTCCCATATCGAACAGAACGCGGCGCGACGACTGTAGAACTTTAAGGTGTCGGTGAACTCGTATCGATAACCTAAAATAACATAAAATAAGATGTATGAAATAAAAGTATATATAGTGATTCATATGTTTTTGTTTGTTTGTTTTTTTCACTGTGAAATAACAAATATATAAGCCATATAATACATCAGATTTTAATCCAATTAGGTGACAGATTTGTAACAAAATGACTTATCGATACATATGCCTATACGCCCAGTCATTATTCTCATAAACCAGCTTGAAGTAAATAAAATAGTAGTCGTTGATAATGGAGCATTTTTATTTTTCAGGATACAGTATAATGTTCCAGCTATGTATACTGAGTGATATAACGATATAATAGAGGGTTGTAAATACAAAGTGTATTTGATGCTGCCCTCACTCGGTGAACTGTGTACACGACCTTTGACCGAAATCTTTCTGTACACCGTCGCCATTTTGTTGAAAACGTTTGCCGGTTGCCTGTGTCCAATTTTAGCACAAGTAAGGTGAGATTCGCTTTTATATGCGATAACAGTAGATTTTATAATATATATTGTCACCCAGTGACGTTTATGATGGAATCATGTAAACAAGTACGTGAGCAAAGCTCTGAAAATTTTAACTTTTGAGTTCAGTACGAGGTCAAGTACACCCTTTATATATTTATAAACTTGTATCACTTTCACGTTGTGATTGATTCAACGATGGTGTATAGTCCAGTTTACTTGCATTTGGACGGGTTGAAGTTGTGACCGTAACTCTGTGTACACATGCTGAACCATGTAGAATAGTTATAGTTGTTGAACAGTGTTGCTTGTCATCACTCATATCTTACATTGCATTTGCTCCACGCTTCTCCCTGACCGGAACATAATGTCATTTCTTCCAGATCACCATGTTAGTTAGGTTTTTGATTGGAAATGCTGGCACTGTGAGACAGGCTGTTAGTATCCAGTGCCGAAGACAGATCGGCGTATCAGCCGTTGTCTTACAGAAAGGACAGAAATTGGAACCAGTACAGCAACTCTACCTGAACAAACTCCGAGAGTATGCTTCAAAAAGCAAGTGAGTATATACGTATACAGCATTGAGTGGTACATGTATCTATCTGTTGCTGGTCAGGCTATGTTGTTTGATATTATTGAATTAGTTAAAGCTTGTGCACAACGTTCAGTATGGGTACTGTGAAATTCATGAAGGTAGTTTCATGCAGGTGTGAACAAAATATCTATTTGTTTCCTTTCGTTAGGAAATTGGGAAAATACCGTAAAATTCCTAATTGAGGCCGCGACTTTAATTAAAATTCATTTTTTCAATGGACGAATTCAGATGCGTGAAGTTTTGGTGCGGCTTTAATTAGAGCATTCACTTCGGTAACAGTGGGAATTTTTTTCAGAAAACAAAGGCCAGAAGGGATAATGATATGCTAAATGAGATGCACGACACTCGATTGCAACTTTGTTGCAATTCTAAGGCACTTTCAGATTTTTACACACAGACAAACTTGTACACAAACAAAATTTCACACTGTATAACATACTGCACAATAAATAATATCTACAAATAGATTTGTATACATTTGCAGATTACAGTACTGTATACTACAATCTCTAGAATGGACTAATTCGTTAGCACCGGTCACTCTTTTAGTAACCGTGCAGACAGCCGTCTGACACAGTCGATTGCGGCATGTTCGACTTCCGGCAGAGTGACTGTACATTCCATGTTTAATCTAGACATCAGGGAAATTAAAATAAAAAAAGTCAATCAAAAAAAAAATGTTTGCATGATAACAAAAAAAATACTCAGTATATTATTTAATGTAATTTATATTTATTTTCTTATTTTTTTTTGATAACGAAAAGTATATTCTAAAAGAAGTCAAAACAAAAACGAATGCATTCTTAGAAGCAAATGATCACGATAACGGTCATGCTGCGTTTCACACAAGTGAATAACTTACTTGTTTTCGAAGTGTTACAATTGCTGATTATTAATCAGTAGTGATTACAATAATGTACAAAAAATAAATTCGTTGAATTGTTGTGAAAATTCAACTTAGTTTCACCGCAAGTGAATGATTTTGGTCACATATAAATGCTCGATTCGATAGGATATCCGCCATGTTAGTTCAAACATCTTTAGTGACTTGAAACTGTTATGTTGACCTGATAGGTCAAGTCGCTAATTAACCAATCGAAACGCTGGATGGTGCCAACGTGATTACATTACCATAGCTCATTTAAATATGTTAATGTTGTTCAGCGACCTCATGGTAAACGAAACATGGAAGAGATTTACCGTTGTTGTAGTGCGATCGTTTGGCTTTGATTTTGATGGGAAAACGACATGATTTTTTTTTAAATCAAGAAATTAGTTGTTTTCGAAAGATAAGCTGAGCATTGAAGAAGAATTTAACACTTTTGAAAATAATAACAGCTAATTGTCGAAACGCAGTTTACCCAGTCACGCTACCCACAATAAACCTGTATTCTGGAATAAGCGTCAATGACTACGGAAAACCTTAATTAGACTCTAATTTAAGCATCAGGAATCATTGAAATGTTCGAAAAATTATGCCTTAATTTAAAATTAAATGGTATATCTATTTCTGAATCATGTGGTGGCTGTTTGGTTTGCGAAAGTTTGGGGTGCGGCTTATATTGCAGACTTTTTCCTGGGATCAAAACATGTCAATTTCAACATGAAACAATGTCTCAAGTTAGGGGTGCGGTTTCTATTAAAGCTGCGGCCTCAAATATGATTTTTACGGTACATCATTTTATTCAAACAGATTACATGAATTATAATACATGGTGGGCTACTTCATATGGCTAGTTTAAAATACCGGTAGATTCAGATTGTTTTGTTTTAAAACCTCCATCATAAAACATTTCAAAGTTTAGCCATTCTTTTAACCTTTTTACCACCAGACATTTTCACCCAAATTTTCTGCACTTTTTTCTCATATTCTTCATTATTTCTGAAAATAAACCTTAATTTTAGAGCCAATAGACACAATTCAAGTCAATTTTTAGTTTTTACTCAAAAAATTTGACTAATTTTGTCCCAATTTTCTTATGGAAAGTGCAGGCCATAAACAGGACTATTTTGTGAATTTGTAATAAAAAAAAGGAAAGTTGTTGGTGAAAAGATTAAACTAGTTAGCTGTGCCCATTCTTGAGGATGGGCAGTCATGGCTTTATTAAGAGTTTGTGAAATGGTCACACTTTAGGGCCCTGTTCGTTTACACAAACTTACTTCTAACATATAGTTCTTGAAAATAAGTTGCTATAGTATTCTTGTGTAGAATATAGAACACTTAATAATGTGAAGAAATTGTGAATTACTACTAACTGATTCACCATATTCTGTAAATTTCTATATTTTTACTACCAATATGTTAATTTTAGATTTGTAACATTGCTTGATTTTGACTTTGCCAAGCTGTGAATATGCATCTTCACATATCCAACAGTCTCAAACTGTGAGGGCAGTATAACTCACCTGGTGTTAACTGTCCTCAAATGATTTGGGGAAGTTTACAAGTGTATCGTTTTTTTGCCATGCTGTAAGTTGTATTGTATCTTTTATGTTTTGCATGAATAATGTGATTGGTGATTCCTTGAAAATACAACATACGTCTTGACAGTTGCGCACAAAACTAGAAATACATGTACTAGGTAAATGTTTATAAATTGGTGCAATTTGTGCATCTTGGATAGAGACACTGGATCACAAACCTGGCAACGTGTTTCAGTCATCTATTTTGAACAAAAACTCATACTCTATTCTATTTTTTGACAATTCAAAAATGTGTTCTTGTAGCTTTAGAAAATGTGGACTGGTTTGCTACATTGTACTACATTATATTTGTTTGTTTGCATCCTCAGAGCTGCAGATGGTGCCATGTTTGAGGTCTCGCCCAAGACTGAGAAAGATATGGCTGATGAAATAGACAGACTTACTAAATTATATGGTGGTGGAGACATGACAGCATTTCCTGAGTTTAAATTCAAAGGTGAGAATTTATTCTTTTCCTCAAAGTACTCAACTTATGTCTGTTGACATGGTAGGACTGGATTTACCGTGAAAACTGTATTAATTCACAGTCTCTATGAATTCGCCCGCTGACACAAAAGAACGTCTTGATCACAATCAAATTGGTGAAAATAAGTTCAAATTGACCTGATCAAAATGTATCCTATTAATTCGCTCACCTGAAAAAAATAATTTCCATTTGTATCCTATTAATTCGAAAAATAATTATTTTTATTGCCGCTAGTTAATACAGTTTTTACGGTACCGGTAGTTCTGATGCTTGTCGCCATGTATGTTGCTGGTAAATGATTGTGAGATAATTTCAAACCATGCAGAAACTTAACACTACATACAGTTCACTAATCCTGTCTACTCCAGAACTGTATACTTAGTGAATAAAGGGTGATGCACTCTCTATTAGTGTCAGAATTAGAGATTTTCATGATGTCATGTTTTTTACATTATTACTTACCTCACATATTATCTTGCCATAGACTGTTTTGGGGGTTTTTGTACTATTCTACTATCTATTGCCCACTCCGAAATGTTCATATCACTTCACAGGGTCCGTAGCGTTGGGAAAATCCTTTGAAGTCTTTGAGGTCTGAAACGTTTTTGAGTTGTTTTTAAATTACAGGAAAAATAAAAAATCTTTGAAAAGTCTTTAAATTTCTTCATAGTTATTACCGGTAATTCATTTTAGAAAGGCCCATTTTCTTTACATAGTCTTTTTTTAAAAAGTGTTTTCTACCCCAGTTCCGACAAGTGTCAGCAGTGATTGCTATCCCCGCACCCGCCCTTCTACCATGTTGGCCCAAATTAAGGGTCAAAATGTCTTGGGGGGGGGGGGGAAAGCAAGAAAAGGTCTGAAAACGTCTTGGAAATCATTTAGCTCTTGGTGCTATGTAACCTGCTTCAATAAAAATGGTACTGCCGCACGATTATATATAAAATGATGACTGTGAATGATGCATATAATTTAAGATGTTTGCCATCACAATACTTGAATACAAGTTTTCATTATTCCATGTATGAACTTTTGTTGTCTTGTACAAGTTACACTGGTTTTCCATTCACAGTCTTCTCATGAACCTACAGTACAGATTCAAATCAAATAATCACGTTTTCTTCTTTTTTTTTCATTTGCAGAAGTCGATTTTGATGCAGTAGCCAAGTAATTAAGACGCTCTGGTCTCTTTCGTGGTTTCCATTCTGTTATAACTGTGTGTTTTTTGCAATTTCTGTTCAGATGCTATTAACAATAGTGAATGTAAAAATGAAATAAATTAGCAAGTTTTGTTGTTTCATTTTAGTTATTTATTTGTCTTTGTTTACTATAAACTCCAGACTAACCTTGGAGTTCATTTGATAAAATAATGTGAATCTACCAGTACTGCAATCTATTAATGCATACAATATAACATTTCACTCGGCATTCCACAATACCTAGAATTTGTGACATCCTGTTAATACCTAAAATCTATTCTATGTTCCACTTGCTTTACAGCACTTTATTAACACTAGAATCTGACATTCAACTCACTATATACCACACCATTTCACTAATATCTAGAATCTATGCAGTGTTCCACTTGCTCAACAGCACTCCACTAATGCCTAGAATCTAATTGACATTCCACTAACACCTAATAATATCACCTTACTATTCAGATTTATACAAATTTCACACTCAATATGGGATGTAATGAGTGCCGTTAAGAAATTAAATACTTGTTCATGTTTTATTTAGAACTACATCATATTTATGTATAGTGGAATGTTGCAAAGATTACACCATTGTTCTGGCTATATACTGGTACTGGTATTCACTCCCGGGAAACCCACACTGATCTCTTCGTCTATGTGCAGTTTGTAAAATGCTACCGTTGCATGCACATGCAAACTGCTGTGCTTGTTTTAAGGTAGCGAGACTATTATTTGTGTTGAAAATTACGATTTTCACATTTATTTATTAATTGATGAAATGCACTATAAACTTTCATATGATAAAGTCAACATAACATAGAATGTCATGTAAGTTGGTTAAAATGTATATTTTCTGAAGAGAAGCAAGGCAGCCTCAGT